GCTGTGCATTTCCACGATACCTATGGACAGTCTCTTTCTAATATTTTAGTTTCCCTCCAAGTAAGTTCTTCTCTTGGAATTCAACTACAAGATGAAAGTTTAGGTAGCCAATCAACTGAGCTTCTAATATTCCCCTCTTAGTCTGGCTATTGTTGCAGAGTTTTCAAATGTGTAAAAGATTTCAAGAATGTTCAACTCATGTTACTACTGTCTGTTGTATTGTCCACAGATGGGTATTAGCACAATAGACTCGTCGGTTGCTGGACTCGGAGGCTGTCCATATGCCAAAGGAGCAACTGGCAATGTTTCAACTGAAGATGTTGTTTATATGCTTAACGGTCTAGGGATAAAAACCAACGTCGATATACAGAAACTCTTGCTAGCCGGAGAGTTCATCAGCAAGTATTTGGACCGGCCATCCGGATCTAAAGCAGCCATTGCTTTGAGCAGAGTCACAGCAGATGCATCCAAGATATAGGAAAGTAAACAACTCGCGCCCAGATGTGATCAAATGGTCTCACTTAAGGTGCAAAAACCAGAAGATAGAGATTATAATATATATGCCACTTCTATAGAGTATACTTATCAAAATTTGATGAAAAATAATGTATTTGAGACTCTGTTGTCAAAATGAAGATGCCATCTATGACTACATCAGGCTGCTCATTGCAGCATATCTAATACAAAGAGTATTGATTTATGCTTCCCTTTTTCTTCTTCATATTTGTTCAACTTGTTATCAACTTCTCACCAGGCTTTCTTTGGCGTAGACGTCATTTTGAACTTCGTAAAAAAGGAAAAAAGAAAAGTTGCACAGTGCACTAAGCTCCCGCTATGTGCCAAGTCCGGGGAATGGTCAGACCATGTTGAGTCTATTGTACGGAACCTTACCTTGCACTTCGGTAGGAGGTTGTTTCCATGGCTTGAATATGTGACCTCCTGGTCACACGTTCCATTATCATCGAGATACACAAAGAACCTTCTTAGTGTGTCTGTATACGCACACATTATACAGTGTGTATATACATATACATAAAAAAAAAAATCCAGATTTAGCTCAAACAACCATTCTTTAGTAAAACTTAAAAACTGATTTTGCAAAATCAAAAACTCCAAATAAACGCCAAGGTATACTTTCAAATGAAATTTGGACAAAAAAAAATACAAATGAACATAAAATGGAGAACGAAACTATATATATATGTATATATTCCGGTGGTGACTACCTAATCTTCAAAGTAGCTGGCTCATATCTATATCCGTGAGGTTGTTCGTCTCCATGGTGTGCCGGTGTCCATTATCTCCGATCGAGGCACGTAGTTCACATTGCATTTTTAGAGAGTCATGCAGCGTGAGTTAGGCGCACGGGTTGAGTTGACTACAACATTTCACCACAGACGGACGGGCAGTCTGAGCGCACCATTCAGATCTTGGAGGATATGCTACGCGCATGTGTTATGGATTTCGAGGGCTTCATGGATCAGTTCCTACCGCTTGCAGAGTTCACCTACAACAACAACGACTAATCGAGTATTCAGATAGCTCCTTATGAGGCCCTATATGGAGGTAGTGTCGTTCTCCAGTTGGTTGGTTTGAGTCGGGAGAGGCTAGGTTGTTAGGTACTGATTTGGTTCGGGATGCCTTGGAGAAAGTCAAGTTGATTCAGGATCAGCTTCGTACAACACAGTCTAGACACAGCTGAATTGAAGTAAAAGTTGAAAGAATCTCTTCTTTGCCTTGTACAAATTATTGGAAAAAAAAAAAAAAAAAAAAAAACTTAGGTTCATAAACTTTTTATTCATGTGAAGGAATGTCGAACAAATTTCTTTCCTTTGTTCTCCGTCAATCAAATGATAAAAAAAAATATTGTTTATTTCGAGCATATTTGTTTATTTTCCTTTTTCTCGAACAAAGGAAGAAAAAGAAAGAAAGAAAGAAAGAAAGAAAGAACATAATCTTTTTTTATTCGTCCTCAAGCTATAATCGTGTGATTTATAAGTCGCATTTTTTGAATGAGATTTATAAGTAACATTATTGAATGTGATTTATATTCGCTAATGGACACGCCTCAATTTTTTTCCATTCTCGATCCGCGTTTGGATCCTTAATCGTATTCATATAATTTTCCCCCCAAAATTTTAGCTCTTTATTTATAATTCTCTGGTAGAGAATGACTTTAAAAAAAGATGAGATTTGTCCTCTACAAAGTAATAATTTATTCTTCAATGTAGCATAACGCATATTTAATGTATTTACTAAGCGCCTACATAAAATTTAACTGATTAAGCATTATTGAGTAAACTAGTTTATGTTTACGTGCGTTGCACGTGTTATTCTGCGTAAATCATTACAAATTTACATGTCAAAACAATAAATTTATACGTGTATATAATATTAACAAAAATAGGAAAAATTAGATATAGTTCCTTTAATTTATATCAAAGTTATGTAACTAATGTCATGGATGTATCTTTTGTAATTTTAATAGATATGCTATTTTAATCACATTAATATTGGCAAATTTATAATTAACTTTAAAGTCTAAAATATGAAGTTCAATCTAGCGTCGATGAGTGGTTCTCCACTACTCTTATGGAGTATATTGAACTTCCCTTTCGAGAATTTGGAGAACCGAGAAGACTTGAAATGTAGTAATAGGTCACTCAATTTTAATATAATAAGACCTTCAATTGGGACTCCATAGAACATACTTCTCCCACAATTACATTTTCGATTAGGATAAAATTCATGAAATTCTCCCGCAACTCGAATTTTCACTTTGTGGTTGTATTCTATTTAATTTGTGATTAGTTACCTTAATTCTTCAATTATATCTTAGACGTGGTCAAGCACAAAATTTGTCCAGCATGGAAGTATATAGGTCAAGTTTAGTTGATTTCAAACACTTGTTAGAAAAGTATTGCAATTTTATCCAATCGAAAGCCATATAATTATTCGAATTAATTAGTTTTCAAAGGGCATAAAAGACAGTTAAATTTTCAGGATATTTTCGTCATTTAACATTCAACGTTTTAATATTCATGCTTTTATAATAACATAGATATAGAAATAGATAGACATGGGTTGATTCGCCTTGCGACCTACGGGTTCACGTGAACTCGGTAGCTTTTTGTCCAAATAGTGTAAATGTGTTCGAAAAATTCACTAAATATCTATAAATGTTTGAATGTAAATCCAGTTACTATAGAAAATTTACTCGAAGTCATTATTGAAACACATAAATATTAAATTCTGAATCCACCTCTGTAGATAGATTATATCAAACCGTTATTAGCGATATAGTTTTGATGTAATATGTTTATTAAAAATATCTGCCAATGTCTCGTTACAGAGCTTCATACTTTTATAATAAAATAAAATAAAAAAGATTTAAAGGTGTAAAAAAGCAAGAATGCGTATATTTTGGAATATTTCTTGTTTTATTGTGAACATGAAAATTTAGAGTAAAACTTAAAAGCTCTAAAAAAGGTTTACTATTTTTCTAATGTCATACACGAAAATAATAAAAAAATTGTTAACTAAAATCTAATACAAGGAAAACAATAAAGTTCTTTAATTATTAAAGGTCAAATGATGAGTAAGAAATTAATGAGTTCATAAAAAAAATATTCTACTATAAATGTTTCCTGACATTCATTTCGAGATCAAAATGTGATTATTAAAAATGTGTCATTTATACCAATTGTCGCTATATTGCATGGATGAACAAATCAACATGTAAATATATTTGGTGGCTCTCCCTCTCAGTGAGAGTACTGTTGATGAAAATCAAATTAGGCATAAGAAACTGATAATATCTATGATAAACCTTAAAAGAAGATCATATGCTAAGTAGGAAACTTGAAAAATAAACACAAATAAATCAACAGCAGTGAAAGAGATATGAATGTCACATACCTCGTAGTCCATTTAATCAGGTTAATGTCATCCAAAGTCCTGAAAATTACAACATGAAAGGAGGAATTAGCATAATTCAAAGTAATACTCTCACTGTCTCGATTTATATGATGGTGTTCAATTGAGCAGGAGTTTAAAAATAATTAAAGTTTGTGTTCCTAAATAATATTGTTGGTGGATTTTATTTTTCTAGAGGCAACCGATATAGAAATTTACAAAACCTAAGTAGATGCATATTCCTAGTATTAAAGCAACATCAATTAAAAAGTTAATTTCCCAAAGTTATGAAATAAAAACTACACATGAAACACCATTAGAGGCATCAAGAAAATAAACACAAAATCTAAGAATGATATATCTACTAATGCGATATATCGGGTAATACCAACATGTAGCATAAATCATAGAAAGCACTAAAACAAGACTACATAACATTATAATATCAATAGAGCAAAACGATTGAGAAAACAATAGAATTGTAGCCTAATGCATTCTTTTCATTGTTAAGGTTCTTTTATATAGGGTTTTTTATTTGTTTCCTTGATTATGAGTAGGAGTGTTATTGTACCGATTTCATAGGAATGAGTTTTTAAAATCTATATAGTAATAATGACGTAAGGAAATAATTATTACGCCTGCTTTTATTTGTTTCCTTGGATTATAAATAGAAGTGTTATTGTACCGATTTCATAGGAATAAGTTTTAAAATCTGATATAGTTATTTTGATGTAAGGAAATAATTAAGTCTTTAAAATTAATTGATTTACAATACACACCGTAATAAATAAAAAATTTAAAGAATCCCTAAAACTAAGGGGGGAAAAGACCAAAGGAAAAAAAGTCTATAACGAAAGAATCCCAATTCTAAAGAATCCTAAACCTAAAAGCAAGCACAAGGCAATTTTTAATTTTGCCCCAAAAAAAAAAATAGTGATTACATTACAAGTATATCCAACATAAAAAAGACGAACTAATATTTTGATAGGTGTTCGTACTTTTAATATAGCATACATATATGACTGAATGCGACTTATAATAGGCAGAGGTGAATGCAATTTATAAAGCGCAAAATAGAATGCGATTTTATAAATCGCAATATCTGAAATCCAACGCTTGCTTATAAATTCCCTTTTTCCTTTCTTTTCCTTTCCCAACGCTTGTTTCCGCTCATCTTAAGCAAATTTTAACAACACACTTTCTCCAGCAGTTTTTGGCAGAAGAGAGATCAGAAAAATGGACGAGCAAGAATTTAGACGCCTTCTTGAGCTCTTCCCAGCCGTTCGCTCTCCCGATTACTACGTAAAGCTCTCCCCTTTTTCCTCTCTATAAATGAGCAATCTTTAATAAATCATTCATTAAAATTGAAAAAATGGGTTCTAATTAAGTATCCTTTTCACTTAATACCCACTTGATTATCTTTTTTTTTTTGGGGGGGGNTTGATTCAAGTTGATTTTGAACTTGATTAAGGTTATTAAGCTCCAAATTGATGTTTTGGGTGTTTTCATGCTGTAGTTTTTTTAAAACTTGGAGCTTATTAAGTAATCTGAGTTTCCCCATTATCATCAATTTTCTGCAAGTAAAATGTTTCCTTTTTATTTTATTTTTAAATTTTGAGATTTGCAGTGTTAGGGTTACTTTTTCTAATCAAGACTTAGAAATTACAATTTTTAAAAAATTATGAGAAATTAACTTAAATAGCTGCCCGCCAATAAAATAGCCCAAAAATGTATATATTATACATAATTAGTGTATAATATATGTATAATTATTTGTAACTTCTCCTAGAATTATCGTGCTAAAGTTCTCATTTTTTTGGTTGATCCAACTTGCTTTGTGGAATCTTGGACCAAATTGGGATGCTGAATTTTTAGTCGTAGGCCTGGTGATTTTAGCAACTCAAACAGCCTGTGAAGTTTATGTTAAGTTTGAATCCAATTGTGGAGTATAAAAGGAGCTTTTGAAGCCATTACCTTGATTGTTCCTTTTTTCCCCCTTGAAGCGCGAATGAATTAATAGGCCAACATTGTCTTTATATGCATCTATTTAAAAAGAATTTATGTTGCTCTGGAAAGAAGGCAGTAGGTGAGCTTAGATAAGAAATATAGGAATTTATTCTCTATATCAACCTTCGATAAAGCAAGAGACGTCTATAAAAAAACTGGCTTTTCCATTTACTGGAAGAAACGTTGTCAAACTGAATTGCTTTTCTAGTGTAATGTGATTTAAATTCATCACTGTAAATTAATATCAATATCCCCTGCTTGGTCTATTACTTCACAGAATTAACTGATATGGTCTAAACAATAAAAAGCAATTGTCCTCTTTCAGCTTCTTTCTGCCCTGAATCTACAGTTATACACTCATAAGTATTCAAATCTCAACAAAAGTCCACTCCATAGTCCATACCAGCCTAAAGGCTCTATTAGGTTGTTTGTCTTCTATTCCCTTTGGAGTAGTATTACATGATTTCATAGCCTTTTTGTTAGGGTCCAAAAATAGAAAAGAGTGATGTAAACTCTGCTGTATGGTGGGATTTAACTCAACTTTTTTTGGATGTAAATGAGGAAGATGTGAAATGGAGGGATGTCCAACTGTAAACTCTTATGCTTCAATGAATGTGGGATTGCTGAAATAGAATTCAAATATCTGAGATGTGAAAGTGTGAATTCTAGACAAGTATATCCCAATACCTGTCATGCTCCCATCCTGATCATATTGATCTCATCTAGTGCTAGTTTCATTTATTTTCCAGCTGGTTCTTTTTCTTCTTCAGTTTCCTAGTGCTTTCTTTTTAATCGTCTTACCTGCTGACTCTCCTTTGTGTTGTGTTGTTCCCATCAGCTTGAGTTGGATACATCAAGGCAATCAACTTCCCAATCCAAGCAGAAAGAGGAGGTATGGCAGAAATTTTTCCTTATGTAATCGTCTGAAGCTTTGCTTTCAGGTTATGATTATTTCTCCTAACACCAAAAGCTTCATCAGGTGAAGCAATTGCTAGACGGGCATAGTAAGGGAAGTGTAGAGTCCAGTACTCGAGCAATGGATCATGGTGGTATGTTATGACGTTATCAGTTGCTTTGCTCGGGTGAAAATGACCAAAAACTATTCTTTATCATGTAGTAATAACTTTGGAATTTTCAACCTGCATGAGAATACTGCTGTCTTTAGATCGTAAAAACTAAACAACCTACTCAACTGCGTTTCTTAAGGGTGCGCTCATTTCTCTAAAGTATATATTCTTAGAGATTGTTAGTCATTTAATATCCATCTTAAGTTACTGCGTACTGTCTTTTGTTTTCATTTTCTTCTCTTTTCGGAGGTCCCCTCTTAAAGTTTCTGCAGCAATCTTCTTGTTAGTAATTTAAATTCCAAAAACCTATCTAAATTTTTTGATATTGAAAATAAAATTCAAAAACTCTACTTATTTTGATTCTTTTCAGAGTTGAAATTATTTTTAATGGTAATGAAGTTATTTGGCAATATTGAGATTGCTCAGTTTGTATCTCTTACACCTTTATGGAAAGATCTCAGTAACTGAATCACTTTCTTGTTACAGAAGCATTTTGGGGCAAACTAAAAGCAGCTGCTGAGAAAAAGGTGTGTCCTGTTATAATCGTTGTTTATGTAATTTTTGCGTAGAGTGAAGATCCCTATGCTGTACTACTAGATATTGTCCAGCTATGCCTAGTAGATTCAAAACTTTGCTTTGAATTCATGTCTGCATACTATAGGGGGGTTATTAATACGTCTTATTGTTCTGAATCTGTTATTCCTTCATATAATTGCTTGAGCAGATGGAGTGAGTTCATTACTACAGTGTTTCCTTAGGTCTGTACATCCTAATAATTCTTTCATTGGGCTGTTTTAATGATTCTTCCTAGGGATAAATCATCAAATTTTGATAAATAGTTCATATTCCATCAATGATCAAAGAGGATACATAAACAAACTCCTAAATCGATACCTTCAGATTGGGGAGGAAGTTGAATGGTTTGTTGGTTAAGTACTAATGCAAGTTTAACCAAATGCCCATTTTCGATTAGCATGAGGCTTCTGGAAGTAATAGAATTTGGTGGAAACGTTTAGGAGGACTGCTTTAATTAGAGGCATTAGAAGGCGAATTAGTTCAAATGATCACCACCCTGGAGATTTTTCTGACCTAGAAGACCGAAATAATATAGCTAAAACTACAGCACATTTAATTCAAAAGTCATTTATGTTTTGTGCTATGTTAGAAGGGACGATTAGGTAGGAACAACTACTGAAAAAGCTGCTGAATGACCAAGCAAGCAGTATTGCTCTCGTTGAGAGTTGAACTCAATAATTATAATCCTAGTTAGACGGTTGAGAATGTCTTGAACAAAACTTCATCAGATGGTTTGTGTACAATATTTCATCTTACTAGCCCCCGGGGCTTTGGCTCAGTGGTAAGAGTGGTAAGACCACAACACATGATATGTAGATTAGGTGCACGTCACGAGTTCGATTCCTGCCGAAAGCTAAAAGCCTGGTATTCAAGAGGGGCTGACAGATTATCCACGGAACTTTGAACCGTACACCAGCTACCTCTCAGGAATTTCTCGGTTATAAAAAAGAAAAATACATCATCTGTGATAACGACTAACAAGGTGTTGGTCTGGCTTTCTACAGATGGGTCCAGCGGAAGCGGAAACTTTTTGCAAGGCATTTCAACAAGTTTACAGGAAACTTGTAAGTAAATACTTCTGAAGTAACCCAAGCAGAAAATTTTCCTGCTTTCTCTACGTATGATTCACTTATAATGTGTATCTTCATTTCGTTTTAGCCAATCGCCTAAAAACTTTCTGCTGTAAGTTATACTTTGGAAACCTTCATGACTTTCAGGTGAATGAAGAACTGAGTTTGGAAGCTGCTCGGAGCTTGCTGAATTCATGATTTTTTTCCCTGAACTGTTGTTACTTTTAATCACTTGATGTTCTGGATATAGCTATTGTGTAACTTATATTTTCTTTTTTGTTAATGTATTATTACATTGAGTTATATCTTCTTCTTTCTTTTAGTGAAATTATGTTTACTCTGTAAAGATCTTTTAGCTTTGATTTGCTCTTCCTAATTGTTTTGTCACATCTTTATTTTATTTTTTGGGTTAAATGGTTGGTGACCAATGCTATTCTTGTTGTTTACTCACTGCCCTCTCCTCCTCCACTGCGCACGACCACTACTTTCTTCACCTCAACCTGGAGTAGTTACAATTGAATATTTTTACATGATTAATGTAGTTTAACATATTACAACTGATTAATTATCTTTTTTTATCAGATTACTAATCAATAATAGGACTGCTCTGCACTAAGCAACGAAGGGTCACTCTACATCTTTGTTGTGGCAAATGGCAATGTCAGTACCACAAAATCTTGATGTATCAGCATCTTTTCCAATGGATCCCTCTACAATTTGGTTGGCAGTAGCTTGGTTAAGGGAATCCACCGGAGTCATCGCCGAAGCGAGTCTTCATAGGGCTATTGCTTATGGACCCGTACTTGGGTGATCTTAAGTGGAGGTTTGAACCGACTGATGTTGAAGAATCACCGAGGGAGTCGTGGTTAGGGGTGAAATACCACTCGAACCTAGAGTTAGTTGGTTCTTCCCGAAATGGGTTGAGGCACAACAATTGATTGGACATGTAGGGGTGAAGCATATTCACATGGAACTGTTCTCACGAAAGGAGTATTAAATCACTAGATATATACTCCAGCCTAGTAGGTCAACGATACAGCACGATGTAATAATATACTGACATAAGATTCAAGTCATAGAGATGAGTAGATTGAAGCTAAATTATTAAGAAAAACAAAAAAAAATATCATTTGTCTCACTTCCTTCAAAAGAAAAAGAAATTTATGGTGATCAAGATTGTAGATGATAGTTACCACTATAACCAGTAAAATTCTCACATTTAAAGAAAGCTATCATTTAAAATGGTTGTCATTTAAATAATCCCAATCGTCAGATCAAAATCAAGCAAATAAAACTCTTGATGTTTGACTATTAAAAAAGCATTATTTGCAGTGTTTCACAAATTTAACAATTTCATAGTATTTGTATCCTATTTTAAGAAATGACGACTCTCATTTTCTAGTTTCTGTTACTCTGAAAGTTTGGTCAAATGAGCATAAAAGTCAATTTAGGACCACTAATTAGATTCTTTTTCTTTTTTGGTATATACATATAACTTTAACTATCAAACCCAACAAGAATTTGGACAAAGGGAGCAGTAAAACATTCCTTAAGAAAATTTATTATGTGGCACAATTAATATTTAAAAAGTCAAATAACTTTATGTAGAAAAATTTATTTTTAATATATGTAATTTAGCATAAAAGTTCTTACCCGGTTAAAATTGTGTTAATTTGGAAAAGTAATATCCCATCTTAAATTATCTGTCATAATTTTTTAAAATAGTTTTTCGGATTAGTTATCATTTTAGAAGTTCGAAACAAAAATATTTTTTTTATTTTACCTTTAATATTAATTATTTTTGAAATAAATAATATATTTTAAGACATAAAAAAAAAAGTTCAAAACTCATTTTAATTAATATTTTCCAAGAGGCATACATATTTTCTTAACATAAAAATCGCATGTGAGGATATGCACATGAAACAAGAAACAAGAATCATGAATCAAGAATGAGTATATACCTTAGATGACTATGATCTAAGGCTGGTATTTTCTCCAGTGTCAGACATCGTAGGACCCATTTGTGCTATCTTCAAGAATGAGCTGGATCTGACAAATTGCAGCACATACAATATGCCAATACAATCCTATTAAAAAAAACAACAAGTGTAAAAAAGAAAGGAACTTTTCTGTGATTGAGTTCAAGATTTGATGACCCAATAAAGAAAAGTTGATGATTTTCACATTTCCATGAAGAAAAAAAGAAGAAGAAAGAAAAAAGAAAGAGAGGTTTTTTAGACATGGTTTTTTCTAAAGATAATATGACTGGAATTATTNGAAGAAGAAAGAAAAAAGAAACAGAGGTTTTTTAAACATGGTTTTTTCTAAAGATAATATGACTGGGATCATTTTGGCTTTGCTTTCAAGTGTGTTTATAGGGGCAAGCTTTATAATCAAGAAAAAAGGTCTTAGAAGAGCTGCTGTAGTCTCTGGTGTTAGAGCTGGTATGTGGGGTCTCTAATTTTCTGTTTGTTCTATTATGGAAGTGTGTAAAGTTTTAATCTTTTTGGCTTTTTGTTGCTTGTTCTGTAGCATGAATCTTGTTTGAGTTTTCTTGGTTTTTATTTTTGTAGGTGTTGGTGGGTATTCATATCTATTGGAGCCCCTTTGGTGGATTGGAATGGTCACAAGTAAGTTTTCTCCTTTTTGTTTCTGTTTTCTGCTGTCCTAATATCCTTAATTACAGCATTTTGTCTGTGTGTGTGTGTTCTTAGAATGTTTTGATACAGTGCTACTGCTAGAAAGGACTGGTAGAAGTGTATATTTAAATATAATTTATTGAAATTTTTTTGGAAGTAAGATTAATAATTGGTTAGTGTGGTCCTTTCTTCTTCTTTTTTCTTTTATAATTTTGTACTAATATTGGTCGTAGATGAGCTTTAATGAAGCGATATGGTCACTGTTGATTCATATAACCGACCTTAATTTGCTTGTGATTGAGGCATAGTAGTAGTTGTTATTGTAGTTATCTTAATCAACCACCTAGCCTATTGATGTTATTGATATGTTTCCTGAATTTGTTCTAACAGAAGTAAGGTGTGTCCTATGTCTAGTTTTTTCTTTCTTGGCCATTGGCTGACTGTCCATAGGATGTTCTTGTTGTTTTGCTTCTCATAGTGATTGTCGGAGAGGTTGCGAATTTTGTGGCATATGCATTTGCTCCGGCAGTTCTTGTTACCCCTCTTGGTGCATTGAGTATCATTGTCAGGTGTGTAATCTTGGTGATTCGGTAAGACTGAAGATATACTTTTGGTTGTTTAACTGTTTTTATGGCCAAAAACTCTTGCAGTGCTGCACTAGCTCAGATTGTTTTGAAGGAAAAGTTGCATCCTCTTGGAATTTTGGGTTGTGTGATGTGCATTGCTGGTTCTATCGTGATAGTTATCCACGCACCACAGGAGCATGCTATCGCTTCTGTCAAAGAAATATGGTACATGGCAACTCAGAAAGGTGAGACGCTTCTATCTTGACCAAATCGTCTAGTTCCTTTGCGACCATCTACACTTTTCTAACTTCATTTTCTTTTCAATTCCAGCATTTTTGCTCTATGTAGGATCGGTGCTTGTCTTGGTTTTCATTCTTGTCTTCTACTTTGCTCCTCAATGTGGACACTCGAACGTCCTTGTTTTCACTGGAATATGCTCATTGATGGGTTCTCTCTCGGTAAAACTTTAAATTGGATGCTCTTGCCTTGTGGTCTATCTTCTAAATGCTCAATTTCTGCAAATCTTATTTCTGCCGGTTAAGTGAATAACAAAAATCTCTGTAATTACTAGAATTTATGTCCCTCTATTCTGTTTAATATGCAGGTTATGAGTGTTAAAGCCCTTGGTACTTCACTAAAGTTAACTGTTGAAGGAAAGAACCAGTTGATGTATCCGGAAACCTGGTTTTTTATGTTTGTTGTCGCAGTTTGCGTCGTTACACAAATGAACTATCTCAATAAGGTGAGTAGCTACTATTCTAATTATTTTTGTAATGTAACACATTTTGTCCACAAACTTCCTCTTCAAATTGACTGCTAATTCATCCTTCGAGATTCTAAGAGTGCCCTGATAATTTTCTGCTCACCTTGTCCTCTTTCTTTGAATTCCTTGTTTCCTTCTTTTTGCCCCTCTCTTTTCCTATTTATTCATTTATAGAAGTAAGAACCAGGTGAGAAAGTAGAAACTATGATACTACGTAGATTAGGTAAACAGTTTGGGAAAATTGCCCTGTTTGTACTTCTCTTACTGATATTTAACTAATGAAAATAACAATAAAAATAAGAAAAAAACTGTCTTTTTATATGATCCTTGCGTGAAGCCTGATTCATCAAGTTTCGGTTCAAATTTGTTATATTTACATTTACCTGGTATTAGATTTAGTCTCTTGATAATATTTCTGATTGCCAGATCTTTTTTCCCCCCTTTACTTGCTAATTTTTCAAGTCTAAAGGAGGTTCTAAGTATGCTCCAAGTAATGTTGTTCTCTACTTATCGGAATCTCCACTTCTTTGTATATTAATCTCTTATTGCTTTTCTCTTGATCATCTTGGAACCAATGAATTGGCAGCTGACGACACTACATTCGTTTCAATCTGGGTGATATTTGAGATAATGCAAATCCTTTGCACTGTCAGATATTATGCCCAAGGAAAGATAGACGATATTTCTAATCCGTTCATTTTCTTTTGCCTTTTTTTCTCCCTTTGTTGTGCTTTTCCTTTTATCGATAAAGTAATAGTTTGTTGATGTTGTGGGGGAAACACCATATACAAGAAGTATATCAAATTGTAGAGAACTACGCGAAAATATTATTCTCTATAAAACACATCCAGCTATACTAACAGGAACCTCATTGGTGCTCCAACCATTATCTAAATTATAAGCCATGTTCTAATCTTTACAAAGCCGTATTCCACCCCTTCAAAATCTGTCAGTTATTGTGCTATTATTTATCAGTATACTATTTACTGCATCAGAGAAGTACAAGGCAGCCTCTAATTTTGTATATTGCAAGTCATGAGAGAGAGGCTTTGTCAAGAAGTTTATTCTTTCAGATTATTGAATAGAAAAATATTATAATTTTGAGCTTTATCTTATTCCTTATTTTCAAATACCAACATTGTCAACTTAGAACTTCCCTCAAACAATAAAGGGCAGCCCGGTGCACGAAGCATCCCGCATTCATGCAAGGTTTTAAGGTAGGCAGCCTACCCTGATGCAAGCATCAGTAGCTTATTTCACGGCACGGCTCGAACCCGTGACATATAGGTAATAGGTCACACGGAGACAACTTTACCATTGCTCCAAGGGTCCCCTTCAACTTCCCTCGAACAATGCCAAAACCATTTCATTGCAACTCAAAAACTTTATAAAAGGTGCAAAAATCTTTAACTGCATGATGGGTTGATTTTCATCAAAATGAATTCATTTTATCATGACAGTAACTTTATGTGTCTAGGTTTCATTCAGTCCTTGTAGTTGATTTTCTAGAATAATAGTATATTGACAAAGTATATTAACAATGAAGCAATGAAAGAAGTGACAGAAGAATTTGAGGAAGGCTGAAAAATCAGTATCATATATCTCTTGAAAAAACAGTTTCTAGATAAAGATTCTAAAACATCTAATTGAAGAGTTTTAGATTAACTTTTAGATACTATTGTTTTATGAAGGTCGTTCTCGTTGCAGATATCATATTTTTTTTATTTTTTTTCTTTGTCAATCTTCAGACACTACTTCATTTTCTTGTTGGTACTGTATGCAGCCTTTCTTGAAATTTTAGCATTTATTCTTGAACTTCTTTAGGGTATCAATCTTAAATAGTGTGATAGCATCTTCCTCTTATTATTCCTGATTCCTGATTTCTAGTGTAAACTGATAATCTCTTCTTTAACATCACTTTTTGCTTTCCATGTTTCAGGCCCTTGATACCTTCAACACTGCCGTTGTATCTCCTATATACTATGTTATGTTCACAACATTGACTATTGTTGCCAGTGTCATCATGTTTAAGGTATTAGCATCTACCTTTTTTTCTTTTGTTGCTTTGTGTTGAGCTTGCTATAGAATGATGAGTACAATTAGAGTCAATCCGCTTCTTGGGAATTTATCCCAAAGTTTACGGACAGTCACAAAATAGCATGACTTGGAACGAAGCTAGGAATTTCGCTAATGGTGTTCAAGATTTAATATATATCTATATTATATTAATATATTAAGAGCACGAAGGCCCTTAACGAAATGTCGTTCGTCTTTTTTACCCTGTAAAAATAGAGTTCACACTAGACAAAACAGTCATTTATATTAATTTCCTAATATGTAGGAATGATCATTTAATTAATTTCCTAATATTTAGGAATAGTCATTTAATTACAACCTAAATACTTAGGGCTTTAATTTTAACTAAAATTTGGTTAATATTGGTAAAAAGTTCTCATATTTAGAAATTCAAAAGCAGTATATTTCTACTTACAAATATGGTAGTCAATATTTCTAATTCCTATTTCGATATTCTAAGTTTGTTATTAAACTAAGACAGAAAAAAAAGGTTGTTAACTTATCAATTTCTAACTCAAATAAGGATATGATAATAACAAAACTATCAATTTGTTTGACATTGAATGTCTTTTATTCGTAGACAGAATTTTATGCATTAAATTCTTTCTTATGTATTTCTGCAAAATTTTTCTTTTTTGAATGATGTAACATAGTAATTTATAAAAGACAATTAATACCATAAATTAAACAATTAACACAAAATAAGTAAAAAGTAGTTATTACTTATTGTATGTTTGAATTACTCTTTGGCGCATAACTATAACCAATTAATTTTATCTTAGTAAAAAAGAAATTAGAGAAAGACAAAGTTTAAATTACAACGGAAGTCGATAAAGTCGACCGGCACTTCTTCGATTTTTCTTATTCTTAATTCTAGATTTATTATCAAATGTAGAATTCCCATAAATTTTGCATACTTTAATTATCTTAGTAAAATGAAAAAGAAAAGCCCTTTACGTGAAAAATTATGATTGATTCTCTGGTATACAATAGAATATCCATTATCCTTTGACCAAACATGCCTTCTATAAAATTCATGTATCAAAATGTAAATAAACATTCTAATAAATACGATAATTAGATATAAATAGCCTAACTTCTACAATTACGATACTCTGTTACTCAACATCAAATTTAATAAGTACTTTTAAAATGACACATTATAATTGCACGTGGGATAGTCACATAGTTGCATATACTCTAAAAGTACGGAAAAGGCCTCTTTTCATTTATGTATGAAGTCATATTTCGTAGGACTTTAAAATTCATTAAAAGCAGTTAGAAATGGTTACTTAAATATGTAGAAAGTCCTCTTTCGACCAACATTTTCATTTTCATAAACTTATATTTTTCTATTTAATTTTTATTTTATAACTCAAATATATTGGTAAAAATGTTAATGTAACTTTTTAATATATATACTTATTAATGTAGGTACATGCGCAAAGCGCGTACCCTAAGACTAGTATGTATAAAAAGTATTATTTGATCTATGTACACAATTTATTATTTTCCAGCAAAGGGTGTTCAACTGACCATCCTTTGCTAAGGGTAGCTCCGCCCTTTCTTGGAAATAACACCAACAACTGCGTCTCAATCCTAATCAAGTTAGGTCTGATATCAGTGTTGTCAAAGGCTCATTTAAGGCGCTTCGCGTCCCTTGAGCTGTGCTTCAGTGTAGGCAAGCCACCAAAGACGTGCCCCTTATTGCTCATGAATTCTATCTTGAATGGAGCAATGCTAGACTACAAATATAATCGGCAAATAAGTGTATTAGTTGTTATGGAAAATAATATGAATGATTGTGAGTTGTTTATTTCAAGAATAGGTTGTTACTTTTCTATTGAATTACATATATATTTTTATTTTTTTCTAGCATTGCGCCTTTTTTATCTAAAGCCCACACTTAAAATTGTGTTTTGCGCTTAAAGCCCCAATTGACCTAGAGCGCTTTTTAGAGCTTTTCTCCTTTGACAACACTGTCTGATATATGAATCTTCACTTACCATAGCGCTCCATTTAAGGTCATCTCAGATCAATATTATACATGACTTGGAAATATCGACTAACAAGAACAAAAAATTCTATGCTGTTAGGGATGTCAAAGACATTTCTGCATATTGATGATGTGGAATATGATTAGTTGTCCGAAACTCTGATGTCATACTTATCGACCTATTTATACTAAATTATGTAGGACTGGGATGGCCAGAATGTTGGGAGCATTATATCAGGAATATGTGGTTTTATCGTTGTGCTGTCCGGAACCATCTTGTTGCATGTTACCAAAGATATGGAGAGAAGTTCATCTTTCAGAGGTTCATTATTCTTCATACTATAATTTTTATGAAAAATACTGATATTCTTCCCCTAAATACTTAATATCATAAATGCTCTAGCTCTAAAAGTAATATCAAAATGCAGGTACAAGTTACACACCTTTATCCCCGACATTATCAACCCGACTATGTAATACAAATGGGGAATCACTTAAGCATGAAGAAGAAAGTGGATCGTTTTCTGAGGAAGTCGATTCTAGACGACAGGAACTCCAGGTTTAATATGAACGATTTTTTATTAGAAAGTGAAGCATGCAACCGTTAATCCATAGCAAACGTCCAAAGCTGCAGCGTGTCAATTTCTTCTTCTATTGCATCTGTTTTTCTAGCAGCAAGGTAAGGATTTCGCAGGATCTTAAAGAAAGAGCTATTGAAAGATCATCACATGGCAGCTTTCGTTGTGCTTTCGTTGGCAGAACGAAAACTAAAGAATTTGTTTATAGTTATAGCAGTTTCAAATATTGGTTTAGTGTACATCCTTAAGCATCACAGTTGTAGTCGCGGTGAATTGCAAAATATCTATAATAACAGAGGAATGATGAAAGGTTGAATATTAGGAGTGATTTAATTCTTTTTTGCTTTTTCTCTTTTTCCTGTCCCTAATTTTGCTGGAATGTATCTTGTATATGTATAGCATTTGTTTTGAAGTATTGGGTGGAGTTTTTGTTTATGTTTCATTTTTTAATGAACTTGAGATCAGATGATGTTTGATTGACTTCAATAACACTGCCTTTCTTTTCAAGCGATTTTACACTGTCAGTGTATTAGGGTAGAAGGCTAGTAGGTAATCGAGAGTTCCCCTTTCATTACCTATAGTATTAGTAGCACTCTTGTATTTTCATATTCTTCTATATCTATTATTTGCATGTTGTTTCGTTCGCTTTGTTTATTTTATTTCCCTGTTGTTACTATTTGATGTTACTTTTTCTTCTTCGGCTTCTCCTCTTCTCCCCTTCTTCCTTGTCTTTTGTTTTCTTCTTCTTTCGTTCTTTTTCCCTTTTCACCTTTTCTTGAGTCGAGTGTCTATTAGAAACAGCCTTTGTACCTCACCAGCTGTAAGGTTTGTGTACACTCTATCCTCCCCATACCTTACTTGTGGGATTATACTGGGTATGTTGTTGTTGTTTACGTTGTCAGTGTATATAAGTTTAAAATCCATAGACTAATAAGAGGTAGGGATTCTTTACCTCTTTGACTAATAGATTCTCATCTTTTAGCACTATTCAGTAACTCAGCCTTGACTTTCATTTATCATCTTGATCTCTATTTAAATTCTAATTTTTTATCTTACTTTTTCCCAGCCACTCGAAAAGGTTAAGATCTCTTTTATTAAATCCATGTTTACGTTTTGGTAAGCGAACATTGAGACTAATCTATTTTACCTAATTACACTTTGTACAGTTTCATTGATCTCATTATCACACAAAACTACTCAAAAATTATCTTTAAGAAAAAGGAGCTGTAATATTCGTCATATTTTTTTGACTTCAATTATTTCACTTTGTGCAGTTAACCATGAATTTTTCTGGAAAATGATTTTTATAAGATCTTCGTGAAACTCACAACAAAAACCTTCATGCAAGTAGAGGTGGGGAGAGGTGATTAGGCAAGACATGGCGCAACTTCAGCTGACCGAATACATGACCCTTGATAGGAAGGTATGGAGGTCGAGGATTAGGGTAGTAGAGTAGGTAGTATAGAGTGTTCTTAACAGTAGTATCGGCACGCAGTATCGCTTTCTGTTGGTAGTGGGTTTTAATTGACTAACCGTTGTTTTCTTTCATCGTTATCACCTTACTATCTTGTTATCTTTATTCTACTTTTTATATGGCTTTTTTGGATTGTTCCTTCTTGTCTATATTTTCAGTAATGTGGTGCTTATGCCGAGGGTGTATTGGAAACAGTTTATCTATCCTAACAAGGTAGGTGTAAGGTCTATGTACACACTACCCTCCCTAGACCCCACAGTGTGGGATAATACTAGGTATGTTGTTGTTGTTTGGGTCCTACAAACCATAGGGAAAATGTTAAAATCAGACAAACGGCAAAGAAATGGAAAAAATGTTTGAAAACAAAAAACATTTTATTTATTTATAGGTCCTACAAACAAGAGGGAAAATGTTAAAAGCAGACAAACGGCAAAGAGTTGGAAAAAATGTTTGAAAGCAAAAAAAAAAAACGATCACCGACTCTGCTGGGGATCGAACCCAGAATCTCTGGTTCCGTAGACCAGCGCCTTATCCATTGGGCCACAGAGTCTTGCATGTTTTATTACTTGACTTAATATATTTTATTAACCAATACATCGATTACTTGAGAGTAAACACATTTGAAGATAAGTCATGATATTCGGGATCGGACAAAGTCTACTATAAAAGCGGATCCCTACTAATAGTGATACCTCACTTCTCGTTTTTCCCTCGAAAAAGTTGGTAGAAATGAACATTTTGCACCTCATATGTATCATGTTTTAACTTGAATCCTTTTGTTTTACAATGTTCTCCCTAATGTAAGCAACATTTCTTGATTTCACAATGTCTTTTGACTTTTTCTAATTTGCTACCAAATGTATCACAGTCTATCAGAAACAACCTTTCTATCTTCAAGTTAACCGTAAGGTTTGCGTACACTCTATCCTCTCTAAACCCCACTTATGGGATTAATTGGGTTGTTGTTGTTATTTGCTACCAAATGTATCACTACGATTTATTTTGCGCCTTTTGCTTTTTAATAAACGGAAAAGGTCTAAATATGCCCTTGTACAGTACGAAATTGAGCACATTTGCCATTCGTTAATACTTTAGCTCAAATACGCCCTTACCGTCACATAGTTGGTCCATATATGCCATTAGAGTTACACAGTTGGCCCATATATACCCTTTTTCGAAACGGAATCCACCCAAACTAATTAGCTATTTCGTTAATTATATTAAAGTGTATTACAAACACTATTTCCTTTTTATTAGTACCTTTTTTTTTCTTTACCTTTCTTTTTTCTTTCTTCTTTTTTCTTTTCGTTCTCTTTTTTTTTTTTCCCTTTTTCTTTCACCCTTATCCGATTTCCTCCATTACTGATGTCTTCTCCATTTTCGTCACCAATTTCACTTGACAAAACTCATGAATTTCAATTACTAAGAAAATTCTCCCATAAGAATACTTTTATAGATCATATGTTTGTCAATTTTTTAATTTTTACTGAACATATATTTAGTTCTAAAAAATTTAACAAAGTAAGATTGAAATAATATTTATGTAACAAAAAATCCGAAAAATCCAACAAAACCGAACAATCCAAACCGATATAATTGGTTTGGTTTGGTTTGGTTTTGATAAAAACCGAACCAACCCGTTCCATGTAAACCCCTAATTTTCATAGTTAATAAAAAAAATAGATCCAGTTGAAAAAAGATGAAAAAAGATTAACAACTTAAATTTATAACATTACAACTTGAACTTTAGGCTTTTAATCATTAAATTATCTTTCTGAAAATAATTTAAATATTTTGGTCTTTTGAGTATTGTTAAAGGTTGAGATGCTTTTATTATTTTAAAGTTTAAACCATAATTTTTGGAACAATTTAATTTCGTTTATTTAGAGGGCTAGTGAAATTGGAACTTGATTACCTTATGGGAGAATTTTCTTAGTAATTGGAATTCATGAGTTTTGTCAAGTGAAATTGGTGACGAAAATGGAGAAGACATAAGTAATGGAGGAAATCGGATAAGGGAGAAAGAAAAAGGGGGAAAAATGAAGAAAAGAAAAAAGAAGAAAGAAAAGAGAAAGGTAAATAAAAAAAAGTACTAATAAAAAGGAAATAGTGTTTGTAATACACTTTAATACAATTAACGAAATAGCTAATTAGTTTGATTGGATTCCGTTTCGAAAAGGGTATATATAAGCCAACTGTGTAACTCTAAGGGCATATATAGACCAACTATGTGACGGTAAGGGCGAATTTGAGCTAAAGTATTAACGAAGGGCAAATGTGCTCAATTTCGTATAATACAAGGGCATATTTGAACCTTTGCCCTTTAATAAATCATAAAAACACTTAATTTAAAGGGACAGAATCGACTACTATACATTTCAAAAGCAACATAGCAACTACCAGAAATTATAGCAAAATAACACACTTCTTTCAATGACTTCTAGAACGAGAATTATGTTAAAATGTCAGTGTTTAACGGGATTGGTGTGACAACTGAGGCAGAACTATAAATTTTGATGAATGTCTGCTAAAGTGTGCATTTTTCTAAGGATTTGGAGAACCAAAAACGATCTTTAAAAGTGCAATTGATTAGGATAGAGAAAGGTGATTAAGTAGTGAAGGAGAAGAAGATCAACGAACGCAGGGATGAAAAATGAGTTGGAAAGAGAGTAGAGACAACAACAACAACAACAACAACAACAACGCATCCAGTAAAATCCCACAAGTGATTTCCGATAAAAAATGAGTTAGAAAAAGCGAGTAGAGAGATGAAGATATGTTGTTCTTGTACAATATTCCATTGTACAAGAAAAAATGATGCTTTTCTCTATGTAGACAATGGCAGATCCAACCATGCGTTTACTAACTCGAGAAACCCAGTCCTTTCAAGTCTCCTTATATATGTGTGCGTAAAAAAAAGTGTAGATAGAGTTAGATATACATTTTAGACTCATTCTCTCAACCTGGAATCCATGGCGTCTAAATTTCTGAATCCGCTACTGTGTGTAAATAGCCAGTTATGAACAAGTTAAGAGTTCGGCGAAACCTTCATGATTTCAATACGCAAAGAAACCCGAATATCAGAGGGAGAAGGGAAACCAACTCTTGTTGTATAGAACATTTCTGCTAGAATTTAGACGAACATAGACAAGTCATCATTATTACAAATAAGACCATCAAACAAAGCTACCTACATCCTTGCTTCAGTTGCAGCTGTCAGTGTTTCTATAAAGAAAGAAGTATCAAAACCTCAGATGTATACATAGACCAGTGCGGGGGAGTCCGTTATGCACGTTAGTGGTTACCGATGGGTCATTTCTTGCGGGATAAAGCTGCTACAATTCCACCAGCCAGGATACCAACTGCAGTAACAGCAGTAGCAGCAATGCCAATGCCAATAACTCCATCTGCTAGGACAAAGCAAAATGAGTAACCCTTAAACTCTTTCTTTAACCAGAAACAGATTCTGATAAATAATTTAAGACATATATTCCGTTTGCTACCTTTTGTGATTTTGTCTTCAATAGTTTGTTTGAGTGTCAAAGCCTGTCTCCAATCCGGTGCAATCTACAGATTCAAACAGCTACAAATTAAGACTGTTGAAAAACAGAGGTTGAAAGAACTGAAAGACTAATAGAACTCGAGCTTAGTTCAAGTATGCAATTCCTAAATTTCATAAATCAAGCTGCCAAAAACTTCAGTCCAAAACATACTTACAGAGAAAACATCATAGCCTGGAAACAAATATCTCAAGTTTTTAACGCCAATGTGAAGAGATAATATCCCAGCAAAGATTGAAAGACAAAGATCAAACCTCCAAACAACGCTCAACAAGCTGTCTGCTTCTTGCATAGTCCCCACTTCTGTAGTAGCCAACAGCCAGAAGATAAATCTTTTCCCTCATTTGCAGGGGACTGTTACTGCCACCCAGAGATGCTGCAAATGACAAAATAAGTCAGACATCTTCCAAATAGCCAGGTAGGAACTATATTTCAAAGGAAGGAAGCTGGTTAAA